TTGTTTTGATTGGTCGTATGACTCGCATCCGGAATTTGTTTAAATAAATTTTGTTTGGCGTGCAAAGCAAAACGGGAAATATAGAGAAAGAGTCAAACAAAGAAACAAAATGAAAGTCGGTCATATATATGTGTTTATCTGTTAATGCGTTGGTTGGTGATCCTACAAACCAACAATCACATACTTATCCAATTATATAAAGTATATTTAGCATAGAAACTTTTATCATTGACCTGGATTATCTACTGGTTATGGAAATTTACAAATAAATTAGATAGGGGAGTGTGAAAACAAATCACCTCAAGGTATAAAAATGAAGATTGGACCGCGTGGAAAAGGGTACTAAAAGTGACCACGTCACTCGCTCTTTTATTTTTTAAGGTTTTTTTTTTTAAAATAGTAAGTATTACTTTTCTTATTTGTTCTACTTGCTTCCCACGTTTCCATCAAGATTCCGTACTTACATGTATCGTTCTGCTAGTTTGTTCTCACTTACTTACTACCCATACGCGATATATCAGCGCGTGTGTTCAACGCGTCTGATTTGTCATGCTTTCGCTGGGAATTGTGAATGCTCATTGCTGACGAAAGCTCTTAGAGGAGAACATTCTAAAACCATTGTTTTTTTTCCTTACTAGCTATTGCACTTGATATAATACATCTGACCAGATTCAGAATTTGATTTTTATTTTATGAAAGTAGTTTGAAATAGAAATTTATAAGAACATGATTATAGATAAATATGAGTAAGTATAGTGGATTTTTATGTATTAAATCCATGTAGTTAAATCAAAACCCATATTATGTCATATTTAGATTTCTAAATATAAAATCTATATTATCCCATATTTGGGTAATTACACATCTTTCTCTTTTTTCATCAATTCCAATACAATTAATATTATAAAATTCATTTATGATTCCAACATATTTTACTACTTATAATCTTGAAGACTACTTTAAACAAAGTATCATAACTAAAAATATTAAAAATAAAAATAATATTGGAAAAACTATCCTTATAATTTTTATAGTAAAGGTAAATGATACAAATGTTTATACTAAAACCAATACTTATTTTTATCTCAACATTAGATTAAAACTTATCCTAATTAACTTGAACTTATTATAAAATTTTTATTCATATTTAAATTCTTATCACACTCATCTTGGTTTAGTTTTCACGAATTTTATTCTCTAGAAGGGTCTTACTACGTATATTGTTCTCCAAGTTATAGATAAAATACAGTGTATCAACAATGTGTCACGATAAAAAAAAAAAGAAGAAATATTTCTAGAAGGCGTGGATTGTTATTTTGTTGGTTGTTATCTGTTAAACCATGAATTTTATATATATATCTAGAAGACGGCTGAGAAAATCACTCGCTGCGCGTAATGAATATAAAAAATATATCTTAGGAAACTGAAACAGTTTAGTGAATGTACATCTCTC